AGTGAGGATAATTATTCAGTGATACAGAAGGCTCATCATGGTACCATGCACGTGGTTGGAGCTTAGTACATGGTTGTGGAATCGAATAAGTTATTAATGGGCGTTCTTTCTGGCTAAAAGGGGCATGGACAGTGAGAAACTTAGGGTTTTATTTCAATTCTCCACCATTCTCAAGAACCACCACCACGAACTGTTTACAGTAGGTTCTCAGTAGCATCTCCAGGGCATAGACCTGCATCTTGCTCTGGATGGGAGGTTGAAGAATTACCTCTGTTCTCAGTCATTTTTGGCTGAAGTGACCTTCTAGCATTATGCGGGATTTTTAATGATACTGTGACCTCTCTTACTAGGAGCTGGGGGATGGGCACTGCCAAGGATCAGCCAAGCCTTAGACACTAGAAAAGACCATGCCAGCTAGAGAGCCAGGGGCCATGTAAATTGGAATTTGAGTCCTTGTTCTCAAGGAGGCTGAAGTAATTGTCTTCACTTGGGGTCCAGGGACCTGAGAGGCAGCACGATCGACTGCTTGCACTGGTTGGTTGTACTAGGAGGGCATTTTAATCAGCTCGCCTGTCGATCACCATGACAGCTTACACTCAAATACACCACCAGGAGGAGAAAACCTGGATCAGTCAATCATGCTGAAAAACTAGAAGTAAAATAGCTGTCATAGCCTAGATTAAAAAAAGTAAGACAACTATTGAAAAATCACCTGCATAGTTTCCCTAAATTTGTTTTTAAAATCTAGACACTCATTTCTTCTATAATCAAAATATTAATTTTGTACATACTTCCTCCCATTGTACAGGAGAACTAATGCTAGAAGCACTTTACTGCGACTATATGGGATTTTTTTTTTTAAAGATCAGCATTTTACATTTCAATTTCGAGAAGTTTTACAAGACATGCAGATTCATAGAAGTAAGAAATTAATGAACTCTGTTGAGAAGCAATGGTTGTGAGTGTTTTGGGTTTAGGGCTGTCTCCTCCTGAATTGGAACAGGCTGTGAACAGGAGAGGCTGAGAATGGTGGGGTGTTGTGAGTCTGCAATTGAGTGGGTCCCTGACTACCTCTCTCCCTTGAGGGCCACCTCTCTCTCCTCCGCAGTCACCACCCTCCAACAGTTGCTTGTGTGACGCCACCGACACTTTGGTGGCTGGTGTCCTGTGTCTTCAGCTCTGGTGCTGACAGAGAGTCCCTCCTTGACTATACTCTGCCCAGGTTCTCCTGAAATCTTCAACTTGGCCTTGACTCTTGGGCTTCTGTGTTTGTCTCTTCATTGTCTGGTTTTGGCATGAATCCTGCTAAGCTGGTTTGACTAGGATCCTCCATCCTCCATATCTGATCATTAGATTCCTCATTCTCTGCTCTCTCACAGGTGGTGTCTGATCGTGCTGACCTGCCCTCTGCAAGAATCCTTTTGGGTCAGTGTAGCCACAGTCCCCTGACACCCTTGATGTTCCACCTTATTAATTTTCCATCCACGGATCCACTCTGCTCCTTGGCTGTGAATTCCCAGTTGTGCATGCTGGGCTCAGAGTTGATTCCAGTTTCTCTTCTACTGTGAGACTCCACTGCAGTGGTCCCTACACCCATCGAGATGGGCTGCTGGAATAAAGCCTTCCCTGGCATCTTTAACAAGTGTCACTAATGGTTTCTTTCATGGCGCTGGTTGTCTCTGGTAGCTGCAGCAGCTCAACCCTCACACCACCATCCACCATAGGCCTCTGACTGCCTGAGACTGGCTGGGGCGTTAGAACCCTCTACACTGATCTCTACCCCCACATCCTCTCTCTACTGTTTGGGCCCCAGGCTTCAATGTGACCCACAGGACACTAGGCAGCCTGGAAGCATTTCTTGGATAGCTCAGTGTAAATCTGGCTCCAGTAAGGACTGAAACCCACGCGAGCACCAGCTCACTTCCATTGCTATTGGCTTCTTAGAGGAAAAGCTACCTAGTCAAACAGGTCATGAGAAATTAGTGAAAATAATTTCAGTCCAACCTACACACAAATACCTTGTCATGGTACTTTTCATCGTTCCCACTGGTATCTTCCTCAGGGTGAGACAGGAGGGAAGAGGGCAGGGCACAACCATTAAAAGAACGACATAGCCGTTGAGGATACGCCATAAATTGGTTAGGACCAACTTGGCCCAAGATGGTGGAAGATTCAACTTGCAACAGAGCTTGAGTCACATTTTAGAGTCATTGTAATACATTAGCATGCTAAATGGCACACCCACAGGCCCCACAACAGTCCTAGGCTGACCATAAAGGGCCAAAAAGTGGGCGGGACCCAATTCCTGGAAATCCCCCATCCTTCTCCGAAATCACTGGAATAGTCCTCCCACTTGTTGGCATATGAAATTATCCAGCCCATAAAAACTAGCCACCTACGTACCCTGGGGCCGCTCTCCATGCTAAGACAGACCCAAGTTCTCTCTACGGAATGTGTATCTAATAAATCCTGACTTTACTTTCTTGACCTCTGTGTCTCGTCCTGAATTCTTTCTCCCATGAGACAAGAACCTATTCTCTGGTAACAAGGGCACAAATTATTAGTCAGGTTAATAATGACCCTGTTACAGTATTAACTGCTAACAGTTTATCAGTCAACTGCAACGTGTCAAATGGCATGCTAAGTGTTGTAAACATTCTTTTGATGAATCCTCGAAATTGGTACCATCTCCACTTTCCAGCTGTGGAGACTGAGCGCTGCTGTATAGTGCACAGGATTCACGTTCAGGACTGTGACCCTCCAAGGTCATTGTTTCATGGTGTGCTTCCTTCCAGCATCACCAGGGTCGCCTTACGCATCCTTGGCAAATGGACTACCAGCTTCCTGCCCTCTTTCCAAAAGGCACCCACCAGGATTTCCCCTCTCCACCTTGACTTGGCCCCTTACGACGTGGCTCCTGTTGTTGGATGGATCTCCAAGCGGCCTGTCAGCTCCCCAGGGGAGGGTGGAAGGGATGCTTCGGGCTCCCACCTCTCTTTCTAAGTTCTCCTTTGCTATGTTTCTGTTTTCATTTTCAATTGACTAAAAACTTTGGTCTCCTGATTTTAACTGGCAGGGCCCCCGGTAGTGTCAGGGGAAGAGGCAGTGTCTTACTAGCGCTTTGGAGGTCTTTGATTTCTTAGGGGGTCCAGAGGGCTTGCTTAGCTGCCCTTGTTCAAAGGCAAGCTCTCCCAGGCTCAGTGCCTTTGGGCTGTCTGTCTTTTTAATAATCCTGTTTACTAAGGTAGGAGGCAATTTTCTTAAAGTTGCTCAAAGTTTTGCTCTGTCAAAGATAAATGTCTCCCAGCTGAGCCTTTTTGTTCACATTTTGCCGAAGGCCTTTCCCTCGGCCTTGTTAGTCCACAGAAAGCCAGGCAGGATGTTAAAGATCCACTTCACTAATTCATAGCCAATTAGGAAGCTTTGTCTGAACCTGACTCGAAAGTTGCTTTGCCAGTAGATTTGGAGACTTGCCCCCTTGCACTCCACGGAAGTAAAAAAAAACTCCCTTTAGTTGGTTAGAAAATAGAATTTTGAAGCTAATGGTGGAACTGTTAGAGCAGGCAGATAGCTAGATATGATCAGAAAAATGGGGACACAGGCCAAATGGCAGGAATTGGGCAGAAAGGAGGGGCACCAGCCAAATGCAGGAAACTAAACATCATGTAAACACCAGGGGTCTCTGGGCAGAGAAAGAAAAGCAGAAACCCCTGGGCTGATAAGAGGTGACACATTTTGGGGTGACAAGTGGCCTGGGGACTGACAAAGGTGGGAAAAAGCAGGAATCTCCAGTGTCTGAATGCAACTTTTTGCTCGTTATGTCCTCATTTCAATAAAATTAGCCTTGCAGAGTAGGAGTGAAACAGGAGGGCAGGGCACAACCACTGCAGGAATGACACAGCAACTGAGGACAGGACAGACTGGTTAGAACCAAGATGGCAGGAGATTCGACTTCCAGGGGACCGTGAGCCTCACCCACAGGCACCATGACAGTTCCTGGGCTGAACTTAAAAAGGTCAAAAAGTGGGCAGGGGGCCTGATTCCTGAAAATCCCTGCCCCTTCCCAAAAGTAGTTGGAATAATCCTCCTACTCATTAGCATATGAAATTACTGAGCCCATAAAACTTAACAGCTCTGCACCTTGTGGCCACTGTCTCTCCCTTGCCTTCTGAGACGGCCTGCACTCTGTCTCTGGAGTGTGTATGACTAAGCTGTTTCCCCGTCTGAGTGAGACAGACTGCACTCTATGGAGTGCGACTCTCTCTAATAAACTCGCTTCCGCTTAACCATGCCTCCCTCTTGAATTCTTCCCTGCGAGAGGCAAGAACCTATTCTCTGATAACAGAAGTACCAATGTCATGACACTTCTGATCCAGAATAAATAAGGACAAAAATCCCTCCTCCCTTTGCGAAAGGTGGGAACAGGCAGGAATCTCCAGTCTGAATGTGACCTTTTGCTCATTATGTTCTCATTTCAATAAAATCAGCCTTGCAGATTAGAAGTACCCATCATGCACCAACACCGTGGCACTTCCCATCCAGACTAAATATGGACAAGAATCCCTCCTCCCTTCAGGAAGGTGGAGTTGAGATGAAAATCAGGGACTATGACCCCAGACCCTTCCCTCCCCAATGAATATTCTGCCCATTCCTTTTTACACTCTATGTAACCAACCTGCCAAAGTAACTCAGGGCAGCCGCTCACCTGAGCCTGCCTGCTCTCCCCTTGAGAGTGTGCTATCCATCCCTTAATAAATCCCCACTTCACTTTCTTAACCTCTGTGCCTTGTCTCTGAATTCTTCCTGCAATGTGACGAGAGCCTCATCCCCAGCAACATTAGGACCCTTCCTTTCTACTAAGGTGTTTCATAGCTTCCAAAAGGTTACTTCGTCATGTGCGATTTTAGGTTGACATTTGTGGCCTCAAAATTTGAAATGCATGCTTATACAAACAAAACCTCCCAAACGCTCGCACACTTTTCCGGGTTGGAGTCTTTTACCTGGTTCGACGTCGAGAGAGTAGCGATCTATTTCCAGATCAAGCTGTTGGGCTGCGGCAGAGCGGAAATCCTCCAAGACGCCCCGCACTGCCTTGGTGAGGTTGTACGGCACCGACTTAGCAAATCTCATCTTACTGTTCACGATCACACTCCCATTTCTGAAGTTAAGTATTTCAAGCTGCTTAAAGCCGGTGAGGTTGGATCGTAGATATGGAACCAGCTGCAACAATGAAAGACAGTTTACCCTTATGGTGTTCGGTGCTCAGCTGCTGCTAACTCACTGATAATCATATTGCATTATCTGAGGCGTCCATTTCAGTTTCTTTGCTGTACTGGTGTTTGGATTTAGCGGGAGACCAGAACACCACTATTTAATGACCTGTTTGCAGCAATTATGTCTCATATTTCCACCTTTCTGTGTATTGAGATGGATGGGCAGTGATTTTCTTCATGATGAACTGTGAGAAAGACGATTTTAAAAAGTCCAGGTCAACACTATCAGCCAAGCAGGGATGCCAGGCTCGGTTATTAAAAAGAAAAAATCTGAATAAATAAACACATGTTCCAAACTGAACCCAGGAGCAGACTGACCTATGCCTGGTATGTGGGACATCCACGTGGAAGCAAACAATTTGAAATACTATTGAAATAAACAAAAGCTTAAAAAGCAGCTTGTCTGAATTTGACACAACATTGTAAAATGACTATAACTCAATAAAAAAAATGTAAGAAAAAATCAGCTTGTCTGTCTGTGCAGGGATGTTTCACACTAACACAAAAGCAGTGCAGTGAGAAGGGCAGAGAACTTGGCTGTCAGGAGACCAGGGGTCCGTCCCGGAGCTAGCTAGCTGTGTGACCTTCAAGCCACTTAGCTACTGCGTCATTCCTCAATGTTCTTACCTGAATTATGAGGGAGAAGAAAAGGTGGTTCCCTAAGGACCTTTTCCAAGCTATAATTTAATAATCTCAAAATTGCACCCCTAGGAATTGTGCTTCACATTCTTGCACCTGCTTCTTATAAGCCCCATCCGTGAGATCACTTTTCAGAAATGTTTGAAACTCAGTGATGTCTGTTCCCAGTCCTGAAAGTGAGCCTCCTCCTTTCTGAACCAACACCCACAAACCCAGAGAAGACACAGGTGCAAGCTACAACCTGCCAGGCTTGGCCTAGACCTGCTTTCCTTTCATCCCTGTCCCCACCCCACCAGAATTTTGACTCTGACCCAGACCCACACATTGGTAGCCCCTCGAGTTAACTTCCCCACTAAGGTTATTGTGAAAATGAAATGCAATTTTATAAAAAGTACGTAACTTCTTTTTTCTATCTACTCTCTCCTGTTTTCTCCTACCATTATGGGCTCATTCTTTGCATCTTTAACATTGCTTTGGCCTTCGGTGGGAATTCCCTGTCCTCACTGAGTGTGCAGGCAACTAGCCACTCCCTTCTCCCGAATCCACTCCCGTCTTCCTCATGGGAAGGAGGCTACCCAGCTAAAGACCATACTTCCCAGCCTTCCGTGCAGCAAGGGAGGCCATGTGACTGGTTCCCACTGATGGAATGTGAGTGGAAGAGATGTGGGCACCTTGGCACCACTTGCTTAGGAAGTTGCTTGCCCGGGGCTTCCTCCCTTCCCCTTCTCACAGATGAAAACAGGGATGTGCCAGGGGCCCAGCTTCGGCCGTGTGAGTGGGCAAACACCCTTGGGCTTGGCAGAATTATAAGATGGAGGGAAATGTGAGTCCCTGGATGACGTTGGAGAGCAGAGCTGTCCCAAAAGTGAAAGAGAAATAAACCCAAATACTATTTAATTTACTATATTCTCAGTCTCCTCATTACAGCAGTCTAGCACGTACCCTAATTAACGCACCTGGGCTCGGTGCCCTGGGACTGTGCCTTGATTGTCCCAATTTTCACTCACCTCACTCGGGGGAGGGAGGAGACAGTACAAAGTCTTCCTCTATAGCGAAGTCTTCCTTTAAAGTTCACATGAAGAATTGAGTTTTATGTGTTTTTTCACTTGCACAGTGATTTAACTTACATGAAGCTCACAGATATTTTTTGCTTTAATCTTTGAGATAACGCATTGTGTACTTGACTTTAACTGGCCATGACTGTTTACAGGGGTTACATAGTCCAGCATTTCTCGCTGTGTATTTCTTTTTGTGCACATAGAAACAAAATAAACATGTCAGTTTGGAGGGTGTTTTATAGTCAGAGTTATACGCCATCATGATTAACTTCTCACTCTCTTTGGGGTCAGTGACGGTAAGCCACTTAGCTGTTTTTCAGTTTTATGAGAACTTAAGGGGAACTAAAACAAAGGATTCTTCCCCGTGAACTCTCACCCTCATCTGCGGTGGACCTTTCTAGCCTTGAACCCTTTCAGCAGATGGCTGGAAAACAGCATGTGCCATTATAGCTCTGGAAAAATCTGCTTATGTTGTTTTTAAACTGCAAGTTCAGTACTTGAGTTCCTATGTATTATTCCTGGGAAACCTACATTAGTAGGAACTATAATGAAAAAGTCTTAAAAACAAGATTGCTCCCATAAGGCTGGGTGGCAGAGTCTGCCTTATGCATCCAGCACAGAACTCACCTGCCTGTTGGATCTGAATCCATCTCACCACGCTAGCTGAATGCCGCTAGCTAACACACAGGCTTGTTTGTCTCTTCCAACTTGCATTGCTCAAGACAGCCAGTGATTCTATTATAAAATAACAGCACAAAAAGAAAGGAGACACACAGAGTTGTATGTCAACTCACCAGCTGCATGAACCGTTGCTCCAGAGCCTGGTACTCGAGCGAGCTCTTGTTGAACAGGTCACTGGAGAAGGGCATGTTAGCCACACGCAGACTGAAGAACACCACAAGTTCTCGGCCCCTGGGGGCCACGGTCACAGAGCTGGTGGTGATGTACTGCAAAGCTGGGGCAGGAGTCGTGCTTTCCAAGAAGCCATCTGGGGTGGAAACATACCCACTGAATCCCGGTACCTCTGAGAAGGGAGCGTTAACGAGATCCAGCCCATCTAAGCCTCTGGCTGTATCTTGGCTGCTGCCTTCTGAAGATGTCGGCGAATGTGAAATTTCCAGAGCCAACTGACTGTTGGCAGAATAATCATCAGTGGGGATGGTTAGCCGTGGGATTAGTGCTGTCTGGTCAATGGACATCATGTCGGTGGTACTTTGATCAGTCAGAGAGAAGATGCTTGATGCAGTGAAGAAAGATGGAGTTTCTGATAGGGAGGTAGAGGCCACAGCAGGTGGAGACCAGGAACTGTCCGTGGAGGAAGCTCCTGAGACCAATTCATTATGTCCAAGCATCCCCCAAAGAAGAGAAAGCAAAAGGGAAAATCCAAAGTTAAAATTAATTTTTGAAAAATAGCATTTGAACTGATTCTTTTCATATCATGTTTAAAAAAATTGTTTTGGTATAGAAAAGGCCAGTGGCCTGTGTCCAAACCTGGGGAGACTGAGGGTGGGTCCCTGAACCCATTTTATTCAGGCCCAATACTTCTGGATATGTGAGACTAAAAGAACACCAATTGCCTAGAATTTCTGGAATTCCTGCCCAGCCAGACACAGCACATCTAGGGACCAGGAGGTAAAAACTGACTAGGTCAGCAGATGGTGCCAAACCACAGATGGTACTGGAATAGATCACATCCCAGCTGGAACTCCCAGCCAATTAGCTGTGCAGTTTTGGCCTGGAAATTTTATTAACCTTCCAAGCATACAAGCCTGAATTTTATGCAATTGGGTTTTTTGGGGAATCTCAATGATCACATTTTGGTTGTTTTAGTAATTAAAATTTAAATTATGCTTCTCCAAAATTGGATAACTGAATAACTTGCCAATTTGCAAAATGCTATTGAGAGAATGAAGGTGTGGGTTATGCATACAATTGGAACTTTATATTGACCATATATCTTACTAAATATTGACAATATTTAAAGGTTTTGTCCTTCTTACAGGATTATACCTTGATAATTTCTACCACCACTTTGCATTGCTTTTTTGGATAAATACACATTGAACTACTAAAGTCCACTCCCTTTTTGGTGCAAAATTAAAATCAATAAGGATTTATGAACTAGGAAAGGGGTTATATGAAGCTTTCAGATAAAGAGATTGGTGGGTTATTAAAATATTCCAATAAACCTAAATCCGGAGGCACTGACAATATTTAAGGCATTAGGTAGATCAAAACAGGGAGCTTTCTGTGATTACTTCAGTGGCATTTTGGCAAATATGTGGGAAGGCTGTGTTGAAATCCAAATGCTAAGCATGATGAATGAACTGTCTGGATGCAGATAGAATCTTTGGACTCTCAGCTAATTTATAAACTGAAATTCCAAGTGATAAACTGCTCTGAAAGGTGGAATCATATTACTTTTATTAGTTTCTTAAAATAAAACCTGCCTGTGGCGAGTTGTAACCAGATTTCAGAGAAGCCCCCTCTCTTCTCTCTGCCTGGGGAGGATGCCTAAGTGTGTCTCCCCATTATTCACTCAACTGTCAGAAATGATGGTTCCTAACACCCAAGATCTCTCTGGATGTACATGTGTAGTTTTGTTCAAATCTCCACTGCCATGGGCCGAATGTTTGCATCCTCCTCAAATCCATAAGTTGAAGTCCCTCATCTCCAATGTGATGGTATTGGGAGGTGGGGTCTCGGGGAGGTAAGGAGGTCATAAGGGTGGAGCCCTCATGAATGGGGTTAGTGCCCTTAGAAACAAGAAGAGACAGGAGAGCCATGACCTCTCTCTGCCACGCGAGGACACAGCAAGAAGGCATCAGTGTGCTCACTAGGAAAAGGGTCCTCACCAGGCACTGAATCAGTTGGCAATTTGACCTTGGATTCCCCAGGCTCCAGAACTGTGAGGAATGAATTTCTGCTGTTTAAGCATCCAGGCTATGATGTTTTGTTACAGCAGCCCAAGCTGACTAAGACATCCATGGGAGGATCTGGGATGAGTAAGCGGAGGGCTTCGAGTACTATCGGTGGTTTGATTTGACTTCCTTGTGCCGTGGGGAAAGGCATTTGAATCTGTGTTCCTGTGATGGGCTCTCTCTGCTCCTCCAGATGATCGGGGGCAGAGAAGAAGCACCAGGGCCAATGTCTTCACTCTGCACTGGGCCAGCATCTCATTACTCATACTGTTCTCCCGATACAGACTTTAGTCAGACTGAAACCGTCTGCTGCATTATGTCATCAACCGACAAACATGAATTTCTAACTTTTTCCCTTTGTGGCATCTTAGCATTCATCATTCACATTCACAGTAAATCCAACCAAGTTACTTCATGGATACAACAGTTGGCTATTTAAATGTAGGGTTGCTAAATAAAATACAGGATACTCCCATTGGAACATGCTTACACTAAAGCATTATTTGTTGTTTATCTGAAATTCAAATTTAACTGGGTATCTTGTATTTTGCTCTGCTGAGTATAATAACCCCATTGAAGTCTGATTTTAAAAGCCTCCTACTCTCTCTTGGCTTGATACTGAAACTACTAAGGCTACAGTCAATTCCTTCGAAATAAAAATACCATCCAAACTTTACCATCACTTATAAATGTACTTTAAATTATTATGCTTTCATCAGATTCTTATGCAAAAGACATGGCAGTAACACAGCCATTCTAACCTTAAGTTTTTATACTGCAGTGGAGAAGTCAGTCCCTAAAAACCAAAGATGTTTAGTTCATCATAAGATGTGCAAAACAGACTCAAAATAACTTTACTTAAACAACAAGTTCCTACTATATATAGCACAAGGAAATATAATCAATACCTTGTAATGGCCTATAATAAAAAAGATTATGAAAAAGAATATATATATATATATATATATATATGCATAACTGAATCACTATACTGTACACCAGAAATTAACATGACATTGTAAGCCAACTATACTTCAATAAAAGAAATTTTTAAAAATCAAACCAAGATACCATTACACCATAAAATTAGCAAAAATTAAAATGTGAATATACAATGTAAACACTGAATATTGATTTAGTAATAGTTATCAGTATATTGAGAGGAGATAGTATTGTAAGAAACTTAAATCCCTATTTCCAATAATAAGTCAATAAGTAATATAGAAAATATCAAAATGTATATATATTTTAAAAATATGGCAAGAATAAATGCCAGAAGAAATAGCTTGCTGAGTTAAAACGGTCTGCTTTTGGAAAGTAGTCTGCAGAGTGGGGAGGTGTGAGGTAGCAAAATGCTGTCTTTGTGACTTTAATGTGACTTGGCTTTAAAAAAATTAAACTTATTTTGAGACAGTTGTATATTCAAATGCAGTTCTAACAGAGAGTAGAGTAGGAATGGCAGAGTAAGACACTCCAAAAGTCAAGTTATCCTTCACATTTGAAAGTTCTGAGTAGTAAGTAGCTGCGATACAATAAGAAATATGTATTTGTCTGTGACCACTTCCTGACACAGAGCTCTGAAGTTTCTGACCCTTGGGCAGCAGCTGGAGAAGTACGCAGTCAACCCCATTGCAGGAGAAGGTGGGAGCTATGTGTTTCTGCCTGCCCCCTTGGTGCTGAACCCCTGGGGATAGCCACAGGAAGGGCTTGGTGCCCGTTTAAAACTGCCTCTTGTTTTCTGTGGTTCTGCTGGCTTTAAGGATGGGCCGAGGAGCAAAGCCAAACACGGTGCAAGAAAGCAAAATTCAGCAAGTGCAATTCTTTGAACCACAAACTGTGACCATTTGTAGAAACCAAACTGGTGTACCCTGGAAAAGCAAGTCTGGCTTCAGGAGTGAGTCTCCTCCGAGACCAACCTTCAGCAGTTTTGCCTGTGAACGGTGAAGATCAAAGCAAGAGCTATTTTTTGAAATAATGCAAATATTTTAGCTCAAATTTGGAAAATTGTTTACCTCACAAAAAGTTTTCCTCAGACTGTCATCAAAACCCTGAAGGTATGGTTAATGAGGATTTTCTTAAGTGCAATAAATATGCAACAGTTTAAATGAAAATCAAGTGTATTTAAAAGTCAAACACGCATTTTTTAAGGAGGACCAGAGAATATTGGAGAATATTGGTTTTTATGCAGGATTGCTTTCTACCCGTAAATGAAAGAAACGCAGTGTGGATGAGAAGTTTTGAGGGATGCTGCTCTTTCTTTTGGGAAAGTAAGAAGCTATAAAATCATAGGGGAATTGGATCTAAAACAAAGCCTCTCCAATGGCTTGGAAATGCCCGTGTGGGGACATATGCTCCCTGAGGGCAGAGCCGGACCTTCCTTTGAGTGCTCCCTGCACAGAGGACTGCACGAGCCCAGAAGGGACTCAGGTTTGGTCTGTGGATGTGAAGCCGACTATCGGGGGCCAGTCAGTGGTGGTCAGTCACTGGCCTGGGGCAACATCCAGAGGATGCTGAGAATGCGGGTTAGACAAAGGGTGCTGGCCATGTCCTGTGTGCGCCTGGAAGACAGTGAGATCTGCTCAGAGAGTTCCTCAGGTGTCTTGAAAAAGTTGACGTGGTTTAGTTTGTGTAGGAAAAACTGTGAAAGACTAAGAAATGGGTTTACAAGAATTCTGGATGTTTTTAAAGGGAATTCTGAGTCTCCACAAGCAGATTTTTTTTGAGGGGGTATTTAATTTTAGAGAGTTTTGTGCTTTTGTCTTTGACTGGGCCCTTTTACAGCTACATAAGCCACAGGACACTGAAGGTATCGCAGTAATTCTAGTCCATGGAGATGCAAGCGAACTTTGTCTGATGGGGAGGCCATGGGTTCCCTTTCCCTGGAAGAGAGGATTCCAAACATTGCATGTTGTTGCTGGGTAGATTTTGACCCGCTTTGCATCAGTTTGCACATTTGTGTCAGCATTCCTGATTGCCTATATCAAGGGTTGGCAAACTTTTCCTGAAAAGGGCCAAATAGTAAAAACGTTAGGCGGTATACTTCACGTGTCTTGATTGCAACCACCCAGCTATGCGGCCATAAGCTCTAACACAGTCAGAGTCAATCAAGGGGCAGGCTGTGTTCCAGGAAAACTTATTTCTGGGTACTGACACTGAAGTTCAGAGTATCTTCACATGTCACAGAATGTTATAACCCTGTTGAGTTTTTTCAGCCATTTAGAGAGGTAAAAACCAGACCTAACTTGCAAGCTGTACGGAAACAAGTGGTAGGCTGGGTGAGGCCCAGGGTGCCGTCTGTGGCTCTCTGGCCTGTGTCCTGCCTGTCTTTAGAACTTCTTCTGAACCAACTTTAACATCTTATTTGTTCCTTCATTAACTAATGAG